CCTGTTTCTCCCTCTCCCTTGTATCTCTGCTCCCCCTGCCCCCACCCCAATGCTAGTACTCTCCTCTTAAAAAAATCTAAAAAAAGAAAAGTAAAAGGGGTGACATCAATCTCTTAGTTATATTTTTGGTTTAGAATGCTCGTGGATACATTCATTCATTCACTTAACTCATTTATTTTAACAAATGTATGAAGTGCATTTTTTCTGTATGATGTTAAGCACTGAATAAACAGCAGTATTTAAGAGCAAATAGCTAATGGGAAATGGCTGGTGATAAGTAAGTAAACAAATAAATAAAATTTTGGCACACAGTATAAAGGAAATAAACAGTAATGCTTGGGTGGCTCAGTGGTTGAGCTTCTGCTTTCGACTCAGGTCGTGATCCTGGTCCTGGGATTGAGTCCCACATCGGGCTCCCTGCAGGGAGCCTGCTTCTCTCTCTGCCTGTGTCTCTGCCTCTTTCTCTGTGTCTCTCATGAATAAATAAATAAAATCTTAAAAAAAATAAAGGAAATAAACAAGGTAGTATAACCACCCAGTAAAAAGTAGCCTTACCAACCTTTTTGTTTTTTGTTATTGGCACAAAAAAAGCTTATTAAACATGATTGTGTTGTTCATTTATTATTTGTCTACTTATTTATCTTCTGTCTCCTACTGGAGTATAAAAGCCGCATGATCAGGGACCTAGTCTTGTTTCCTGCTGTTTCCTCAGCGTAGGGATACTGCCTGGCAATAGGGAACACACAGTACATATTTGTTCAATACATTTGTTGATGAAGTGAATATGATAGAAACGACAGAGGCCCTGTGCCAGATTAGGGAACCCAGAAAGCATTGCATTTGTATTTGTATTTGTATTTGTATTTGTAATGCATTTGTTTTTAAAATCCTTCGTCAAAGTGTTTGACCAAACCACTTTGGTTTGTCTTTATTTCTAAATATGACATTGTTTTTTTAAATTTACAATTGAACTAAAGCTGTCTTAAAATGCTTATTAAAAACTAATTAGAGGGGGATCCCTGGGTGGCTCAGTGGTTTGGCGCCTGCCTTTGGCCCAGGTCGCGATCCTGGAGTCCTGGGATCCTGTCCTGCGTGGGGCTCCCAGCATGGAGCCTGCTTCTCCCTCCTCCTGTGTCTCTGCCTCTCTTTTTCTCTCTCTATATCTATCATGAATAAATAAATAAATAAATCTTTTAAAAAAAACTAATTAAAAAGCTGTTAAAATCCTTACTAAAAACTTCAAAAAAATTATAAGACTGTCTTTTAAAACAAATAGATATAAAGAATTAGGGAAACTCCCTTTCTTTAAATTCCATGATCTACTTCTCCCTTCAGAATTTTAAGAGATTGGCTGGCCTGATCAAAAAAAAAAAAAAAACACAGGTTTGCATTTAAAATTATCCCAAATTGGGGCAGCCGGGGTGGCTCAGTGGTTTAGCACCGCCTTCAGCCCAGGGCCTGATCCTGGAGACCTGGGATCGAGTCCCACATCGGGCTCCCTGTGTGGAGCCTACTTCTCCCTCTGCCTGTGTCTCTGCCCCTCTCTCTCTCTCTCTCTCTCTCTCTCTCTCTCTCTCTCTCTCTCCCTCTCTGTGTCTTTCATGAATAAATAAAATCTTAAAAAAAAATCATCCCAAATAAAGCCATAAATTTTTACTCTAAATTTGTAGGATGTAAAATTATTTTCCTTTGCTCTCTATTTTATCTCTTAGCTTTAGATATTTACTTTAAAATCAATAAGAAAATTTGAATACCCTATGAATACAATGAGCAAAGGATATAACAAGAAGCTATTATGATAAGTGAGTAAATTTCAAAAACAAAGAATATAAAAACACAAAAAGCCAGACAGTAAAGGAAAGCCTGTTCTACCTCTTTTGCAGTTAGGGAATTGCAAATTAAAATAGGTACCACATTTTGCATACCATTTTGGAGAGAAACAGTTTGAGGAAACAGGAATTCATACACTCTTATCGTGAATATGTATTGTTTCAACCTTTCCAGGAGCAATTTGACAAAATTAAAAGCCCTAAAAACACATTTGCTTTTGACCTATTAATTTCACTTCTGAGAATATATTTTAATGAAATAATGAAGTATATGTGAATATTTAGCCATAATGATAATTAAATGAAGTACTGTTTAAGGTAGCAAAGTATTGGACATCACTTAAGTGACCGATAAGAGCAAAATAAAGTTACGGCACTCTTAAAAATTCAATATAATAATAATAGTATTTGGCAATTATAAGTATTTTCCACAAGTGTACTTATTTACTTAGAAAGATGCTGCAGGGAGCAGCCCAGGTGGCTCAGCAGTTTAGCGCCACCCTCAGCCCAGGGCCTGATCCTGGAAACCTGGGATCCAGTCCCACATCAGGCTCCCTGCTTGGAGCTTGCTTCTCCCTCTGCTTATGTCTCTGCCTCTGTCTTTCTCTCTCTCTCTGTGTGTGTCTCTCATGAATAATAATAAAAAAAAAAGATGCAGAGTTATTAAGGAGGGAGAAAGCAAATTAAAAATAATTGTTCCAATATTGTGTAAAAATATTTACATATTTTGGAGAAAGGGATTCAGAGACTGAGGTAGGAAACGTGAAGTCTGCACGCATGTGCTTTTAGTGGTTGTGGATGAGTAGATTCTGGTCTCTTTAACTATGGAGAACACACATACTTCTGTATTACAGGGTATATGTTTTATTTAAAATATAAAGATACATAGTTTTGCTTTAAAATTTCCCTGGAGGAACCAATAAAAAAGTGAACAAAGGCCATGAACAGGTAGTTTCTATAAATAGACACCTTGGTTAGCTATCCTGGATGTGAAGAGATGTTTGAATTCACAAGTGAAGAAATGCAAATATTATGTCAATAGGATACCACTTTGTACCCATTGGATTGGAAAAAAAAAAAAAGTGGAATCTTGGTAGGTGAAGGGGAAATAGAGTTCTGGCAGAAGTCTATATTGGGACAAGTCATTCTAGAGAGTGGGTCTCAGGGGCCATTCTGGAGAGCACATTAAGTAGGTTTTTCTGGGATTAGCCATCAATCCAAGTCCTGGTAATAAGGAGAAAACCAAATCAAACTGACTTTATTTTATTACAGATTAATATGGATTTGTTACTATCATGGATTTTTATTATTATTTATATCATGGCTAAAAGAAGCAAATAGGACTATTGTTTCTCTCAGCCCAATTCACACAACACAATGAGTTGTATTACTAAAAGAAAGTAGTTAAAATCTTGATAAAGGATCACATGAACTTAGAATGTATAATAAACGAGGAAGAAATGGATAAAAATGATCAGATATAGGCAGATATGTGAACTTTAGGAAAGCAGACTTCAAAATGGCCCAGCATTAATATAGAGAGCTTGTTAAAGCCTCAAGAAGCCACCAGCCTTGGAGTAACACAGCAGCTTCGAAGAATGTAGCTTGAAGAAAGGACCACTTGGCCAGAAAAATGTCAGATTTTGTAGACAAGGAACACTTGATACATCCTGGATTTCAGTCATAATACCTAGTTCCTGTCCTAGCTCAGAAAGAAAAATAATGCAGAAAGATTTTATAAACAGAACGACCTCTAACTGTCTGAAGAATTGAATCTTCCTCAGGCCCCAGTTGTGGGGCTGGAGTGTCAGGCCATAGAGGAATGTCCGGGCCTGATTGTGAAGGACATGATAGGTCATAGTGTAAGTTTTAGTCTTATAAAAAATTATAAAAAGCAATCATCTGAGTTTCATTTTAGAAAAATAATCATGGGGCTTTGAGAGAGAGAACATTTGTGATTATGTGACCACATTGTGAATGATCCAGACCTCATAGGAAAGCAGATGGGCTGTGTACCATGATGCCAACCAGGCAGGACACGGCCGATGTTTATGTAGTACAGAATCAAGGTAGGCCAGAAGTAGGGGGAAAATCCAGATGGTAAGTATAAGCTAAAACACTCCGGAGGTAGGGAGCATTAAAACTAGGAATATCATGTCCAGACCTTAATGCCAAGTAAGGCAGTGACCGTGGAGAACATAATAATGTGTAGTCTGTACCAGAAAGCTGGAGACCACCAAAGTGTCTATTTTTGGGGAGAGGGGATAAGTGAATAGGGGCCGATAGTTACCTTGGAATTCTCTGCAGATGATGAGAAATAAGCATGCAACCAGCAATGTGATTTGATCAAAAAAGGGTTCATAGCTAGGGTTGCCAGATAAAATATAGGGTGCCTAATTAAATTTGAATTAGTGACAAGCAACAGGTACTTTTTCAGGATAAATATACCCCAAATAATTGCTAAATCTGGCAACTCTAGCAACCAGCAACCCAGTTTCTGAAAATAAAAGTTATGCACACAGGCAAATCAACCCTACTTATTTCATAAGAATATGTAGCAAACACATCGATAGCTGTTGCATTTGTGGGAGAAGATAGTAGGAATAAAAATGAATAAATAAATATCACATAAACAAATAAAGGAAGAGAATGGCCTCAAAAGGATAAGTGGTGATAGTGAGCTGAGTATCATTAACTTAACTCTTTGTGCCTAAATCCAAAAAGAAGTAAAAAAAGGTTTACTCTTCTGGAATTTCTTCCCTGAAGTCTTGCTGGCACTGCCTGGCTGATAAACAGCATACTCTATTCTACAGAACAATCCTTGTGAAATACTCTGGCACTTCCAGGAAAATTAAGCTGCAGGAAAGTGAGTAGATGAGGGAGTGGGTAGGTGACTAAAGATCCAGGAAGGGAAAAATTAATAATTTTATAAGCCTCTTAAAAAAAATGAAACCAATCTTTTAGGAACATTACTTGACCTCGATTTACTCTTCTAATAGAGGAACATTCTTCTAGAGTAAATATTAGTAAGAGTATCAACAAGCACAAATCCTTAACTGTTGCTGAGGGTCAGCTGGAAGAGTAAGCCAAGTTTAAGTTCTCCCCATTGGAAAATGGCAGTTCAGTACGTGTCTTACTCTCTTAAAATCTTTTTCTTTTTTAATATTATAGCTGATTACAAGGAGAGCTTTAATACAATTGGGAACATTGAGGAGATTGCATATAATGCTGTTTCCTTCACCTGGGATGTGAATGAAGAGGCGAAGGTGAGTGGAAAAATAGTATTGATTAACTTCTTGTGCCTTTTAAATAATGCTACCATTCTCTGCAAATGATTCTTTTGCAAAAGCCTCTGTAAATAGGGGAAGATCTGTTAACTTGAGCCAGGAAAAAAGGAACTGAACCTGTTCTCTTTCTCTAGAAGTTACACACATTCAGTTATGTGCAGTGAAATCACCTTTTTGGGGGGTAAAGGAGAAAAAGTGCATGCTTCTTTGTGGCCTCCTGCAGGACAGGCCAAGCTGCATGTCCCTACCAAGTCCTTCAGGTCCCCATGCTTCATTTTAGCATGTGGGGCTGGCAAAGCTGGGCTAGAAAACCTTCTCCACCCACACTGCAGTTTCCTCCAAACAGCCCTGATTGCACCCTTCTGCAGAGGCAGCAAAGTGTTCAGAGCTAATGTCTCCATAGGTAAGTAACTGGGTAGGCCTCTGGCCCCATAAGTCCTTCCAGGTGTACCCTCTTTGAGGGAGAGGTACAGAATGCAGGGCTGAGGTCTCTGACCTTCACTCGCTGCAGGATAGACACCACTGTGACCTTGAGCCTAGTCTTTCATGCTGAGTGCTGAAGCTTTTCCTGTTTTTCTCTGGTTAGAAAGGGCAGTGGTAAAATCTTTGGCGAGTTGTGTCCTGAGGACAGATGTCTACCACCATGCTGATTTGAGTAAAAAAAAGTAAGACTTGGTGATATTCGGATTTGCTTTCCAGGCACGAGTCTCTGATTTTATGAAAACTACAGACTTCCTGCTTGTGCCACTCTTCTGTGTTCTTTAGCTTCTCTGATCCTTGATCCTTTTTTTGCACTTAGGGGGAAGTTCCAGATGAAACCTAAGCTTGTTTTCTGCCTCAGTTATGTACCATTTAGGAGGGTGTTAGAAGACTCTGTCTTCAAACTAATGAAAAGGTCAATGTAAATAGTTACCTTCAATGCTTCATTGTCTGTGAGCAGGGGGAAGGCTGGGTAAGAAAGGAAGCTGGATGGGAGCTTGTGGGCATGAGTTATGGAAGAAGAATTGCTCAGTGTCTCATTTCACTCAGGTATGAAACAATGTAAGTGAAATTGGCTTTAAGCCCAAGGAAGGTGACCCAAATGGATAAGCAGCAACAGAGTGCCAGAACAGCCTGGAGAATGTTCAGTGGCTCAGTGCATCTGAGGGAAGGAAGCCGCGTTGCAACAGGTGGGAGGTCAGGTCCCACACAGAACTGTAGGGGAAGTTTGTCTTCTGCAGTCCACTCCGCCTCCCTTTAGAGTTCCTCATGCAAACCTTGTGCTGCCTCTTCATTCCGCACTCTCTCAGAGGCTAGATGACTGGGGTAGATAATGAAAGGCCATCTGTGCAGTGGCTCCATGGGGCAGAGGTTGGAGTCCTTAGCGAGCCATCTGACCTCCCTGGGCTTCAGTTCAGTTGCCTCCCATGTACGAACACAACACAGTTCCAGTTGTCTCTGCTGCACCACACCTCATGCCTAGGTTAGGACAGGGTGGGGGACGGGATCCAGGAACCTTCCAGCATTGTGAGGGGCGAAAGGCAGGCCCACCGTGTTGGGGGTAGGGGGATCCTGTCATCGAAAGTACCTGGTCACTGTAAAGCCAGCTCTAACTGTGAACTGCATTCATAGCCCAGTTTTCATCATCAGTCTGTGACTGTGAGTGCTAGGAAGTGAATGTATCAGTGGAGGCCTGTAGGGGAAGAGAGGAAAACAACAAAACAAGTGAAATGAGAGAGGGAGACAAACCATAAGAGTTTCTTAATCATAGGAAACCAACTGATGGCCGCTGAAGGGGAAGGGAATGGGAGGATAGGGTCACTGGGTATTGGGCATTAAGGGGGGCACGGGATGTAATGAGCACTGGGTGTTAAATAAGACGATGAATCACTGAGCTCTATCTCTGAAACCAATAATACACTACATATCAATTAATTGAATTTAAATAAATTTTTTAAAAAATGCCTAACCGGAAAGGATAGCTTAAATGATGGCAGCTCTTTGGTGAACCAGCGAGGTAGTCAAGTTGGGGGTGGGCTGACCTTCCTTCCTTCCTTTCTTTCTTTCTTTCTTTCTTTCTTTCTTTCTTTCTTTCTTTCTTTCCTTTCTTTCCTTTCTTTCTTTTTTTTTTTTTTTTCTGGCTGACCTTTCTTTTAGCCCAGTGCAGATGCTCATCTCCCACAGGTAGGAGCTCACTGTTCTTTCAATGTGTGTGGTTGTGCATATGCGTTGTTCCAGGCTGACAAGTTTAAGCTTATGTAGACTTTGACAAATGGCAGTGGAGAATCCTTTATCTTGTTTATTGTGGCAAAATTTGTTTGTTTAATATCTATTTTTAGTGACTTTTACTTGGTTGGTGCAGTTGTATGCAGTCTGGGTTAATCGATAAGTAATAAAAAAACTAATAATTACCCCCAAACTACTAGAAGGGTTTATTTTTAAAGAAACATCATAAAAGTTAAATTCACTTCATTTAGGAGACTAGAATTTTTTTTTCAACCTATAGACCCCAAGATATTTCTTTAAAATATTATTGATTTTAGGGGCATCTGATTTTAAGCATCTGACTCTTGATTTTGATTTAGGTCCTGATTTCAGGGTTGTGAGGTGGAGCCTTGACAGGCTCTGGGCTCAGCAGGCAGTCTACTTGAGATTCTTCCCTCTGCCCCTCCCCCCTGCGCTCCCATGTACTCACTCTCTTTCTCTCTCTCTCTCAAAATAAGTGAATAAATCTTTAAAAAATAAAATAGTATTGATTTTATAATAAGCAGTTTGCAAAAAACAGATTTTTATGGTTGTTGAGAAAAGAGCTTCAACAAAGTAAGAAGTAAAAGTGTCCCTCTCACAGAAGAGTTTTAATTTTTATAAGATTGGCTTCTCAGGAGCTGTTGTCCATGCTTTCAAGTTACTATTTGTAATATCAACAGAGAAATCTGTGGGCTTCAAAGCTGGCACTCCAATCAATGTCACATGTTATTTTGGTGTACATGGCCAGAGGACACCAAGTTATGACCTACACCTCTCATGTGGCCCACAGAATGTGTGTGTGTGTATATGTGTGTGTGTGTCATGCATTTAGGTAGCTATATTTCAAATTTAAAAATTTTTGCCCACATTTAATAATCAAGAGATGATGATTTTTTTTAATCTAGGCTTCCAGATTCTTTTGTGTAATGAAAGATTCTGGCACCCGTGAGGTCAAGCATTTGCAAGGCCAAGAGTGGTTCTTGTGAGGTACTAGCTGTTCTTTTTAATACTTTCTTTGGCCTTTTCCATTCTGGAACTTTCCTTACCTGGTCCTCAAGGACATCTGAGTTTTTATGCCTCAACCACACTCCCTCAACTGAATATGCAGTTTCCATCACTGGTTTTCAGAGTTGGGGAAAGTAATAGCCAATTGAGGTTGACACAAGATGTCAGAGAGTAGTGGGGCCAGGAGCCCCTCCAGCATTCTCTGGTTCCTTTGGCTAGGCCTTTGGCAGCAAGCCTTGTGTCAGCACTGTTTGAGAGGGTTGCTGTGACCTTTTGAATGCCCGTGACGGTAGTAAATCTTTGAAGATGTTTAAAGAAAAACATCAAAAATCACTTGGGCCCAAATATAAGTACATATTAAGTTGGATAACACCACTGCACAGTTAAAAATGAGATTTCTCTTGTACAAGACCAGCTTTAAAGATGGCAATGTCACAAGAAATGCTACAAATATACTTTGAGTCACAGCAGCTTCATTTGAGAAAACCATATCTTTTCCTATGATAACTATGTTAGAGGGTAACTTTTATCTGGAGATTTAAGTTTTGGGACACTCACTAAAAAAAACAGTAACAGGGACACCTAAATGACTCAGTGGGTGAGCCTCTGACTTTGGCTGAGGTCATGATCCTCGGGTCCTGGGATCGAGTCCTGCATCAGGCTCCCCACAGGGAACCTGCTTTTCCCTCTGCCTATCTATCTATGTCTCTGCCTCTGTCTCTCATGAATAAATAAATAAAATAAAATGTTAAAAACAAAAACAACAACAGCCTAGTATTTGGTAGTCTTACCACATATCTATAATCAAGACCTCATGATAAAGGTTTATAGCTTTTTCTAGAGTACAGTTCCTACTTCTTTCTTTTGTTGCTGCCTTACATTTTATTTCTAGCTCTCCTTAAGCATAAACAGAAGAAAGGACGTGAAACTCCAATCGTTTAATGTAAGGGTAGGGAAAAGTTGGGCTAGGGAAGGTGTTAAAACTATTAGTTAAAATGAGGTCTGGGGATTAAGGCCAGATTCTGTCTCAATTGCAGCATGGTTCTGGCAGGACTATCAGAGTTCTTCCACCCAGAACCGGTTTTGCTGGTTGTACCACAGTGCCCCTCTGCGCAGTGACACAAGCAGCAGAAATAGTCTTCAACAGGACATTATTTTCCCCTCGGGGTCTGTGCAATCTGGGAGCTCATGTAACATGAACTGGAGTCCCTGGGAATGACTCAGGCAATATCTGGGTGGGCGAGGGTCTCAGGGCCCACGCTGTCACAGATTGGAAATTGGGGGGATGGAGCACTGCATCATACAGGAGAAACAGCCCTGAAATGGAATCCAAGCCATCAGGTGCTAGTTGTGGCCCTGGAATAGCTGGCTTTGTGACTTTCCCCTCCTGAGCTTCAGTTTTCTTAGCTGGCAGATGGCAGGAAGGGGAGCCAGGTAGATGTTGACAGAGTTTTAGGGTCCAATCCATGTGATTCTAATGAGAAGATCACAGTGCTGTGTTCTTTCAGGACTCCCATTTACAAGGTCATTTCAATTCTTTTTTCCACTTAGCCAAACATTGGTACCTATAAAGTAGATTTGCTGCTCACTAATCCCCAGGATGAGGAATTCCCATGCAAGACCCTATTGAATTATTGGAGAGCGGTGAGCTCAGATTGCTGGCACGGAGCACTGCCCTTCTCCAGGCAATGACATCACCCCCAGAGTAGGAGTGCAGCAAACCTTAATTACAGGCTCCCCTTTCTCCC